GCGTACAAAAACACTATATATTGTTCAACAGCATGCTTTGAAACCTAAATTCCGTATATTACAATGGTATATGTCACATATTTTACTCTGATTAAAATAACAACATTTAAATTATAATTTTGTAGCAATGTACTTGCAGTTAAAATAAACAATGCCGGGAAGTTTGGTCACCAATGTAATTGTTACACAGTTCTCAAGTAATGACTTACCCGTGAAGATCCGGGTTAGAATATTGATCTTCAGTAAACCATGCTTGTCGTAAGAGGCGACTACCGGGATCGGATGGTCAGGCTCGCTGACTTGGTTGACACATGTCATCGGTTCCCAATTGTGCAGATCAATGCTCATGCTGTTGATCACTGGATTGTCTGGTCCAGACCCGATTATTTACAGACCACCGCCATATAGCTGGAATACTGCTGAGTGCGGCGTAAAACTAAACTCACTCACTCAGATAATGACTGATGGGATTGTGTGAACCACCACTGATGTAGCCACCCCTGACACGAACAGCCTCTGTCGCTCTCCTCCTCATACTGACAGTCAATTCGAATTCTTAGCGTCTAGATCCTCTGCCATTCCTCATGGAGTGCCAACGTCAATTCCTGCAGATTTTGAATATGAGGATAACTCGAACTTGGTATCAAAGATGGTCCTAAAATGTTCGAGGGATTCATATCAGGACTCGTGGTGGCAATGGTTTCGATGGCGTTGTTCTGTAAATGGGCGATGATGATGAGTCCATAATGTGGTACCATGACCACATTTTTGACATTTAAAATACCGGAGTGGATTATGTATGTATGCCTCCTCTCTGATGCTGAGGTAACCATCTTGAATGGATTTTAGTAGCGGTGAGGGGAGAAACGAAAAAAGGGCATGCATTTGTTTTGATGATATTTGTGTCTTGTCTCCTTGTAAAACCCTTTTACAACTTAACTCGTTCATAGGCGATGCAGTGTGTGTGTGTGTGTGTGTGTGTGTGTGCGTGCGCGCGTGCGTGCAGAAATACCCCCTCTTTTGTCCTCAAAGTTTATTACATGACAGTGAAAATGTCCCCCCCATTTTAAGAGTGTGTGACACCCAGCCACCCCAAACCCCCACCCTTTTCAAAAAGCTGTATCCGCCCCTGTAATGCCGACAGTTTGTATATGAAGTTTATATATATGTACCCATATGAAGCCGAGTGAAATTCTTCACCTCTCCGCGGACAACTATGGAAGCTCGTATTCGGTGGACTTGCGTCCTTAGTTTCGATAATCTACAATCTGGTGCTGTTGAAGAGACTTCAGATGATATAGAAAGATGTCTACGTTTATACGTCTTTGAGTGAGTGAGTGAGTTTAGTTTAACGCCGCTTTTAGCAGTATTCCAGCAACATCACGGCGGGGAACATCAGAAATGGGCTTCATACATTGTACCCATGTGGGGAATCGAACCCGGGTCTTCGGCGTGCCGAGCGAACGCTTTAAATAACAACTAGGCTACCCCACGCCTCTGAACTAGGGATGATGTTCAGCACCTCTGCTCCCCTTTCTCCATCGCAACCCAACAAGGACTGTGTCACAGTGGAAGCCAATCTGCAAACTGATTGCTCAGTTTGTTGCCTTTTCCAACAAGCAAGGGTGCTGGGGACATTCTACCCCGGGTCCCAAGGCGGAGTGAGGAGTTGATGATGTTGATTTGGAGATGGGGACAACTAGCAAGGAAGCCTGAGTCGTTTTCGTGTTGTTATTAGACCTGGGGGTGTTATTAGGTAGGTATAAGTGTGGAAGAAAGCTAGGTAGAAAATATGGAGATAAGTGATGCAGGTATCATTAACGGAAATGGATAAAACTGTAAAATGATTAAACTAAACCCTTTTGTCATTGTTAAGAGGCCGACAGCAGTTTTTAGGTGTGGAAGTGAAAGCCTCGGCGATGATCCAAGATCAGGAAGATATTTAACAGCCGCCACAATTGTAGGTAAAATACATGATATGATTAGGAAATCACATGAAATGTCATAAACATCTCCAACCCAATTTGTACCTCTCATAAGTACTGAGCATGCCAAATGCCTCGGTAAATGTTCAAGGTTCACCGCCTTTGTGAGAGTTTACATAGTTCTGAAGCAGACCCCGCTGTTGGAGGGATCAGTAACTATTCATGAGTGGTGGAGTCACCATTTTCGCCACTAGACAGGCAACGCAATGGGAATGTCTCAGGAGATTGTGTCTTACTAATATCCCAAAAGAAAATCTCAACTGTTTGATCTGATGTAAATAATGTTTGTGTTGTTTCATTGTTTCTTAGAACAGAAGATACTGCATCAGTCGTTGTACTGGTAATTAATGTCAATTTCAATATGGCGTCGTGGTGTTTTCATTATTGTTTTGTAGAATCCAACATCGTATATTGATCGTTGTAGTTATGAAAATCACAGTAATAAGTTTGTCTTCAACAAGATGAGTAAAGTATGGGTACTTGGTAAATCGAAATAGTTCCAATGTCAATGTTAAACGTACCTATTGTTGACTGACGCTACATCCCTCACGACAGCCACGGCATACATCTGCCTTCCTCGGACAGCATACAGGTGACAGAAATTGCACTAAATAAATAACGTTGATTCTCAACGCGTCAACGGAAAAGAAGTCGCAAGTGATGTCGTTAGTGAAATCTGTTTCTACTTTGTGAAGGTTTACGTGAAAGCGTAACAAGCAGGGCCCATTTTACACGGACACAATCAGGAGAATCAGCACCACATTACACGGACACAATCAGGTGAATCAGCACCACATTACACGGACACAATCAGGAGAATCAGCACCACATTACACGGACACAATCAGGAGAATCAGCACCACATTACACGGACACAATCAGGTGAATCAGCACCACATTACACAGACACAATCAGGAGAATCAGCACCACATTACACGGCACCAATCAGGAGAATCAGCACCACATTACACGGACACAATCAGGAGAATCAGCACCACATTACACGGACACAATCAGGTGAATCAGCACCACATTACACGGACACAATCAGACACCACATCAGGACACAATCATCAATCAGCACCACATTACACACACAATCAGGAGAATCAGCACCACATTACACGGACACAATCAGGAGAATCAGCACCACATTACACGGACACAATCAGGAGAATCAGCACCACATCACGCACAATCAGGAGAATCAGCACCATTTACACAATCAGCACCACATTACACGGACACAATCAGGAGAATCACACATTACACGGACACAATCAGGAGAATCAGCACCACATTACACGGACACAATCAGGAGAATCAGCACCACATTACACAGACACAATCAGGAGAATCACACACCACATTACACGACAATCAGGAGAATCAATCAGCACCATTACATTACACGGACACAATCAGGAGAATCAGCACCCACATTACACGGACAATCAATCAGGAGAATCAGCACCACATTACACAGACACACATCAGGAGACATTAATCAGGTGAATCAGCACCACATTACACGGACACAATCAGGAGAATCAGCACCACATTACACGAAGCAACAATTACACAGACACAATCAGAGAACCAGCATCAGCACCATACCATACACGGACACAATCAGGAGAATCAGCACCACATTACACAGACACAATCAGGAGAATCAGCACCACATTACACGGACACAATTTCTGTCCGAAAAGTGACTTGGCAGCTTCGCAGTAAATCCGTAAACCACATTGTACGGTTGGTCAGTGTTGCGGTCTCAATGAGTCTGTCAGCGTTGTTGGAATGTCATCGTTGACAATTTGAAATTAGTAGATTAAATGATTTAATGAAAATATTGCTGTGGATATTCTAAGAGATTTATACATAGAACACAGCACAGGAGAATTGAGATAGAAACAGTTCAGTGAATTTCGTTACATTTCTGTGCACTAGGGATGTGTATTGGCAAATATATTGTATTGCAATATACAGTCTCGGTTGTTTCGATATAACTTCTTAAAATCCTTCACAATTTATCATTATTCAAGCTTTTTTAACTCGATATGGATGTCTCGATATTTCGGACATTTCGATATAATGCCATGGCCCCAACAAGCAATATTACCCTTTTCACTGCGATTCAGGTACCCGTATTGCGATATTTTGGGAACTTAAGTGTTTGACAGTGAGTGACACTGATTGTGCAAGTCAGTCCATTTCTACATTATAAGTACTTAAACATTATGGTTCTGATAACAGCAATCTTAAAAGTAGGTTTCCCAGTCATGGATTTAATACAATTTATAGCATTATACAATATGCCGTTTTGTCACTGAATATATAACGAAGAAAAACATCCGTGCAGATCATAATTTAAACCATAAATATTATCACAAAAAAATAATATAATATTCTTTACCTAATATACCGGTTCTCAGGAATAATATTGCAATACGTATCGTTTGAAAGGTGTATTGCGATATACCAGTACAGCGGTAATACCGTGCAGTCCTGTGTACAGTAACACAGGCCACGCCATGTACACGGGGACATTCTATGTCCGCTTCAATCACTTTCACCACATCTCTTCACTGACATCAAATGTGACGTATGTGGATTCACAACTACAATAATTTCATCACAACTGTTCATGTGGGGATTTAAAACATTTACATTACAGAGTAGAAACTAAACATGGCAATAAATTCATGATTTGAAACAACTTTTGATGAATTTGTGGAATCAGTTATTTGTTGTGACATTTCCCAGACATGTATGAAATGTATGACAAACTGGTCAACTACTGCAGAATAATAATCATAACAATAGTCATGTGTGGATGTAAAATGTTTGTAACATCCCCCTGAATCCAGTCAAGTAGAAAAACATCACATTTAGCTGACCTCGTTACATTCTTGTACACAACAAACAGCACATAGACAGACAACTTATACGTCCGCCTCAATCACTACAATTACATTTGACAGTTTAAATAAATAAGTCACACTTACAAGTTTACACAATGTCATGTTTATTTTATTGTCTAATTCAAGGCGTCATAAATAAGTGACTTCTTGGTGTCAGTCATGGTGATATCTGCCCCACTTATCACCTTCATGTTGACTGTGTAGAGATCTGACCACCCAACACCAAACATGGGAAGAAGAGACTCGCTCCACTCACCATCCACCTTGGCTAAAACAACCTCTCTGTCGAGGTCTATGAAGGCGAGTCTCCCCCTCCCCACATCCAGCACAACGCCATAGTGGAGGGTGGCCTGTGTGCCGGGTGTGTCAGACATTGTGTTACTGTAACACTTCCCCACCTTCCCCTGCTGCCACACCTGGTACAGAGACTCCCCTGGTGTGTGTCACAGCTCCATACACTGACACACCAGGAGCGGCGCTGTAGACAAACATACACCACTCACTGTCTACCTGGCTCTCCTCTCCCACACCCATCTCCAGGACAAGACCCCCACCACCTCCACCCACCACACCCACCCTAGAGTGGGTCTCCCAGTATCGTGGTGTGTGTGGGACAGGGGTGACAGTAGAGGGGGATGGAGGAAGGGGGATGGGGGTGGAGGCACATGTACCCCGATATTTCCGTAACCTGCCGCTGTGTCTGTGTTGTGTGGCGGGCGGCGAGTTCACCAGCTCACCGCCTGTAGTTACGTGGCACCTGTCTGTGTTGGCTCGATCAGCGGACAGTTGTAGTTTAGGACCTGGAAATATACATTTTGTTTACAGTTTAACAAATTTCCCGACTTCAGACAACAAATTAGACATTTTATTGTCAACCTCGTTTCAATGTTTACAAACAGCGCACTGAATATCGGCTGCCATTTTCGTCTGTGTGTGAATTGTGTCATAATTGTGCTTTAATAGAAATTATAACTCTGTGAAAATATTTGTATGGGTATTCTAAATGTTTTCCATACATTTTTATATGCATTGATAAACAAATAAATAGTATTTTAAACACTTTTTACAAAGTTGTTGTTGAGCGAGTTTGAGTGTCTGCAATCAGAAATAGACGACAACTGCCTAAATATAGAACTGTTTCCATATCATGTCAAGACAAAACTATCGTCATAGGAATTCTAAACTCTTCTTATACGATTTACTAAACAATAAGACCGACAAAGTAGTTGTTTGACGATATTTTTACATCTGAGTGTTCAACAGACACAGTGTCAACTGGTAACTTCTACGTCCGCTTCAATCACTGACCACAGTCTGAGCACACTCGCTTGGCGGGACACAGGTTGTCGCGTTTTGTGTATTGGTAGGAAGATGATGTAGATTATCGTACTTACAGGTGCTGTATTGCACATCGTTGTCCTCGCTGATGGCGTGCACTGGGGTAGAATCCCCTGCAAAAGTATAGTATACATGGTAAAACACATTATAGTTAGTGTTTCAGTTATACCGTGATCTGCTGTGGATGTGAAGTCTTAACAGCAGATCGTTGAACTTTAGAGGACAGGGAATAATACATAATACATATTCCAGATATGCTTTAACAGTTTCAGTTCAACTCTAATTACATCCCCTCATTAACTAAGGGGATGGTGTCAGTTGGTGGGTGCGTGCGTGCGTGTATTGGAACATACAATATGGAAAAAAGCCGAGGGACACATGCCATTAGAAAGGCTATAGTTTATTGACTCATTTAGGGGGTGGCATCAGTAGGTGGGGTGGATGACTAACTCAGGGGGTGGTATCAGTCGGTGGGGTGGATGACTAACTCAGGGGGTGGTATCAGTAGGTGGGGTGGATGACTAACTCAGGGGGTGGTATCAGTCGGTGGGGTGGATGACTAACTCAGGGGGTGGTATCAGTAGGTGGGGTGGATGACTAACTCAGGGGGTTGTATCAGTCGGTGGGGTGGATGACTAACTTAAGGGGTGGTATCAGTCGGTTGGGTGGATGACTAACTCAGAGGGTGGTATCAGTCGGAATGGTGGATGACTAACTCAGGGGGTGGTATCAGTCGGTGGGGTGGATGACTAACTGAGGGGATGGTATCAGTCGGTTGGGTGGATGACTAACTCAGAGGGTGGTATCAGTCGGAATGGTGGATGACTAACTCAGGGGGTGGTATCAGTCGGTGGGGTGGATGACTAACTGAGGGGATGGTATCAGTCGGTGGGGTGGATGACTAACTCAGAGGGTGGTATCAGTCGGTGGGGTGAATGAGTATCTCAGGGGTTGGTATCAGTCGGTGGGGTGGATGACTAACTCAGGGAGTGCATCAGTAGGTGGGGTGGATGACTAACTCAAGGGGTGGTATCAGTCGGTGGGGTGGATGACTAACTCAGGGGTGGTGGTATGAATCGGTGGGGTGGATGACTAATAACTCAGGGGTGGTATCAGTCGGTGGGGTGGATGACTAACTCAGGGAGTGGTATCAGTCGGTGGGGTGGATGACTAACTCAGGGGTGGTATGAATCGGTGGGGTGGATGACTAACTCAGGGGTGGTATCAGTCGGTGGGGTGGATGACTAACTCAGGGGGGTGGTATCAGTCGGTGGGGTGGATGACTAACTCAGGGGGTGGTATCAGTGGGTGGAGTGGATGACTAACTCAGGGGGTGGTATCAGGTATCAGTCGGTGGGGTGGATGACTCACTCAGGGAGTGGTATCAATAGGTGGGTTGGATGACTAACTCAGGGGTCGGTGTCAGTGGGTGGGGTGGATGACTAACTCAGGGGGTGGTATCAGGTATCAGTCGGTTGGGTGGATGACTAACTCAGGGAGTGGTATCAGTCGGTGGGGTGGATGACTAACTCAGGGGCGGTATCAGTCGGTGGGGTGGATGACTAACTCAGGGGGTGGTATCAGTCGGTAGGGTGGATGACTAACTCAGGGGGCGGTATCAGTCGGTGGGGTGGATGACTAACTCAGGGGGTGGTATCAGTCGGTGGGGTGGATGACTAACACAGGGAGTGGTATCAGTCGGGGGGATGGATGACTAACTAAGACCAAGCAGCTACTTTCACTGACTTTCGAAAACGTTTAGATGACTTTTGCATTCTGTTGTGTTCGACGGGGTGCCAATACGTGATAATACTTTATGGTTAATAATTCGGACACTAAGGTTCTTGTGAGGAAAACTGGTGACGGTTTGCAGGAGCGTCTCTTGTGTATGTTACTGTATGGGCTCTGAAGGCAAATGGCGATAAAATCAACCACAAAGTAATTGCTTTCAGACGGTAGGCTGACTTGGTCAGACAGTTGTTTTATAATGGTCTGTAACTGGAGGTAATGACTCATTTTCATATTTAAGATTGGTATTTTCAACATCTGGTATACAGTTTCTTAGGCGTAGAGAACATAGGCGGAACAAGCTTCTAAACCACCAGAGTTTATATGTACTCCTATGAACCTTTTAAATGCATAATTTCACTTTGTGTTGTTGTACACTGACGTTTGTTGAAGAGAATGCTTGAAGCTTGGACTAACATCAGTTTAGAATTTGCTTATAACATTCCCCTGTGTTTATCCCCGGGTTTCTGCAAATCGTCGGATATTGGTTTCAAATTTTCCCGGGTACTCTCAAATACCCACGGGTACTCTCACATTGATGCACGCAGCACGGAGAGTGCGAAAACAACACAAGACTTAACAAGAAGACAAAGTCATCAATATGAGGCAAAATACTCTTCATGAATATGTCCACGAGTTATGTTTATGTCAAATGTGTTGGTGTGTATATAGAAAGGTGGAAGGAGAGTATTGAAAGGTTTTAAAAGTTCTGCTCCAGAAAGGAGCACTACCGCCAGTTTCAGTCTAAGTCCAACTTGCCATGGAAGCGCCAAAAATATTTTCTTCAGAAATCTAAAACTACCGAAAGGCACCAGTACACCACCAGATCAATCCATGTGCCAAGTTTGGTGAAGAAATAGTGAACGGTTTTAAAGTTCTGCTCCGGAAAAGACAAATGTGCACGGACGCACGGACGCACGCACGGAGTTAATTTTAATACCCCCCGCAACGCGTTTTGCGGGGATAACAAGTCGATGGTGAACAATGACATTTTCAAGGCAGGTCCGTCTGTCTCGATACAGGAAACTCAGAATGGTTGTCGAATATTTACAGACCGCCATTATTTCGCTGGAATATTGCTGACTTGCGTTAAACAAAACCAAAACCAAAACAACCCCAAACGAACCAAACTCCATTTGTATCATTTATCCGAACAAAAGCAGGCGTAATATTAGCACTCAAATGTAACATTAATACCCGACAGGGCTGTGTCTTCAGTTCGCAGCTATTCATAATTTCAATAAATAGGTTTATTACAACTCTGAATGAAACTGGTGTCAAAGGTGTTCAGATCAGTCTCAATATAGACACTTTGTTGGCCATGACGTTTGCAGATGATGTGTCAGGTGTTGAGGACAAACAACCCGTGAATTACGAAAGAGAATTGATGCTTAGAAGTAGTAGCTGTGCGTACTCTGAATGATGGTTAATCTTAAAAAGATAACTATTTGATTTTAAAAAATATTGATAACTATTCACACTGGTATTTCGAAGGTATAAGGTTGGAAGATGTTCTAGGTATTTAAGCGTTATGCTTGCCCCTCGGCGTCTGTGGACCAGAGCCCAGCAATGTTTGATCTCATAGGCCATTAAGGTTGTATAACATTATACTTATATCAGACTTCTTCAAAATAACTGATGCTTACTCAGGCTATACTTTGCCATGGAAACAAGTGATACTGTCCAACTGTAAGTGGTACTTAAAGTGTAAACAGATGTAAGTAACTAGGTGTTGTTCAGGTAATGTAAGAGATTGCCCTTTCAGTACTGGAATATGTCTGGAGCAATTAACTACCTCCGTAGCCTGACCCGTTTAGAATAATACAGACACCCCTCACCAGGGCTATCTCATGTTAAAATCATTTGATGATGCTGGACATACAACAGGGACTACTTACATTAAAACTATTCTTTTTCACTTAAGCTTTGGATACATATGGCTTGCTCAAGATGTTGGTGACGGCAAGTGTTTCAACAATATCTTTAAACTGAGACTTTTCTCTAAAAGAAAAATGTTATTCCTTCATTACCAGCCTCATTATTTTCTCTTCTCATTCTATAACTACCAGCATATAGGTCATTATAACATGAAGAAAACTCACCCCCACGTCTGTACCAGTACATCTTAAATCGCTACTTGAAAATGATGGACTAATTTTGTCTTGCGTGTCGAATCATGGTAAAGATTTAATTGGAACCCAAATGCCTGTAACATTTAAATGTTACTTGTCTGATGAACTAAGAAATAAGTATATTTATCAGTTGATGTAAAAAATGGACAAAAACAGAACATGGCTTGCATCATTGCTAGCAAAAATGAAATTGTGCAAACGAAGTTGTGCTCTTTTTCTAAAAGGTGTCTAGCATCTTAAAAGTTTCATGGGGCGGTGGGGTAGCCTAGTGGTTAAAGCGTTGGCTCGTCACGCCGAAGACCCGGGTTCGATTCCCCACATGGGCACAATGTGTGAAGCCCATTTCTGGTGTCCCCCGCCGTGATATTGCTGGAATATTGCTAAAAGCAGAGTAAAACTAAACTCAGTCAGTCAGTCAGTCAGTAAAAGTTTCATTTGAAATGCTCTAATCTGTTCGATTTGGATATTTTACAGCTTCTTCATATTTTGGAGTTATGTCCCCTGTGACTGAACAATTACGTGCACGTCTGATGTTTTCACTGTCCGTTTATCAAATCATGCGGAGCGGTGGCCGACAACAGCTGTCTGTCTGTTTGTCTGAGAACAAAGAAAACAGAGATATTGAGCTAGAATGAGTCTTATTACAGATGCCCTCCGGTGAATGGTGTAGAAACTTAACGTGCTTGGACATGCATGGAGAGACGCTAAGGAGATATGCATCTACTTGGATTTGATGATGTCTGGCTGTCTCAGCATGTAGAGAATAAGTACATGATTTACATGACGTCTGGCAGCGATTTGTAGATGTTAACATGTAAATCTGGAATATGGAGTTAAAGATGCTGCGTAAAATTAGCATGCGGCATGAAAATCTGAGATATGAAGAATATCAATTTCAATGATATTAGGAAGACATAGAATCTCATTGACATGTTTTAGATTCAGCGGTCTATGATAGAGAAGGGTAGATGGGCCAGACCTACACGAAATGTCGTACCCAAACTCTGTCTTCTATGAGGCACAAATAAAGAGGATGACTATTACAAAGTGTTGAACTGCCAATTAGTTTTATTTAAATGTACTTAATATATGAGATTCCATTAAGGAATAGAAAGGTAAAGAATTTGATTACCAGTAGAAGTGTGAGCCTCTAGGCTGGAAGATCATGTGTTGTCTTGCTCATAAATGTTACATCATTGTTGAGGCACTACTTGTCGTAATAAAAGTGAACCAAATAATATGCCCTGACAGGACAACAAAAAGAACTATTAACCCCCACTTAATCTATTTATGGTACATGAGATATTGTGTCAGTTTGACATAATCAGAGCAAATGACCATCTTACCATACATAACCGATACTCTATCCCGTTAGCTGGAACAGTACACGCTGGTGGCGCCTTATTCACTTACAGTAAAAAAAAGATTCGAGATATAATTTTATTTTACACTACATTTGATAAGTATGTAACGTTTTGTCTTACCTTTCAAGAAGATCACACGTGGAATTGTGTCTGCGAAGATGCATGCTCCAGTTGTGAGCTGAAACAAATAAGTGAAATGATTGTGATATAGAGTAAGCTGCATTTGTATACCTACATCAGTATGTAGAATGAACAAATCGAGCTTATGTTCATATTTTCACTAGACATTAAATGATTTAGAGATAAATGATAAGTATGTGTTTGTTGTTTAACGCTACACTCCGCAATATCCATCTATATAACAGCACCCGGTTAAAGATTATCAAACAGAGATGATGGATGTATAGCATGTGCAACGCCCAATCCATTTATTCAGCATTGGCTGCAGGGGACCTATTCTGATCCTGAGATCCATGGGAGTAATGGACGTACCTTGGTGACAGCTTCATAAACGTCTTGTGATGTCATCTGTGAAGGTGGGAGCCTCTCTGATTCAGCTTCACCAGCGTCGGACATCTTGTTTCCTGTTGGAAGATAAACATACAAGAAATAACCCAGAATCTGACTAATTGTTTACACATGTACGTTATCAAGATTTTATTTCAAGCGCTTTAAATTCATATTAAAGTCTGAAAGATCGTAAATGAGTTATTAAAGGTATTTGGTCTGTTCTCTCCGTCCTCCATCCTGGTATCATACCTACCCGCGATGTGATGTATAATGTGGAGAAGCTGACGCCATCGTCCTTCATGCAGCTGAAACAAACAACACTGGCATCAAAGATCTCCGGTGGCGATCACACTATAGACATGTAGGAATCAAAACATCTGACTATAACATGGCGTTATTAAATATTTCAGAAGCAGTAGAAACGTTCAAACCCGTTCAAAACTGTGCAAAAAATAATTCCTTACTTGAATAATCTAATTTCGTTATAAACAACATATTACCACGTTTTCTTCTGTCAGCAGGTTTATCTGTTGAAGCAGCCCTGAATAAGAAAATATAACACAGATCAATTGAAAACTTTCCTGGCAATGAATATTCACAGAGCAGTGTACATCAAGTCAGTTTAATGTAGAATATGTCCCTTCACCAATATCTTGGATTGAACGGTTTGGCACTGGAGTAGGTATCAATAATAAAGGCGTTTGAGGCATTTAAGCATCGGCTCACTTTCTATAGTCAACTGTTGAATATATCTCTGAGTATTATCTAACCATGCATATGTGTAATATATCTACCTTGTAAAGTAGGCTGTGAATCTGGAATATGATCCAACTCAAGACTGGAGGCAAGACCACCAAATGTGTCGATGAGTTCCTCTAGAGCTGTCTGCCCCTGAAAGGAAAGGAGGATATTCGTATCTCTTGTGTCATCTTCTGGAAGATCCCTCTTGAGATTTTCGTCACACTTCTCCTGTATTGCACCAGTGATAGTAATGAGCTCATCTCGTCTTGTGGATTCAAGCGTTCTCTGGGTGTAGTCTATCGTTGATATGATGGAAGACTGAAGATCGTGTAAACTATCCAGCTTCTCCTGAACGACCTTATTTGTATTGTCCAGAGCCATCTGGATCTCCTCCCTGAGTTTCCTCTGTCGGTGAAGGAACTTCACAGCAACACGTTTGGAAACGGCAGTAACCTCTTCTTCCAGTTTTCTCTGTTTATTGTCCAGTTCCTCTTGGTGACTGTTCACAGTTCCAATTGTGTCTTTGACATCTTTTAGTTTCAGTCGTTGCTTCTGCAGCTGTTCCTCCAGCTGAAGCTTTGCGTTCTCGTGGGAACGATTTAAATCTTGATTCTTGTGATGTCCATGGTCCCCATGGAGACACACAATACAGATGGCCTTCTTACATGTGTGGTCATACAGTTGTAGTTCATTGCTGGGGTGATCCTTGCAGTTAGGTTCTTTCAGCCACTGCTTCATGGGGATAGCATCTCCTTGACTGACCTCATCCATGCTGTGACCTCGATTTCGTTTCGGTAGGTCATGATGTTTTTGACAGTCGGTACAGAGCAGACAATCACATTCATGGCAGTATACTTCAGCCTTTGCGTCATGGTCTTCCATGTAGTTACATTTCTTCTCCCCCTCAACGATGGCAGCATAGGCAGCTTCATTGCGACCAACAGGGTCTACTTGAAGCTGTTCCACGTTGAACTCACGACCACAGGGACATCTGAGGCACTTCTGGCTTGTTTGGACAGCATGGTGGTCAATGCATGGCTTGCAGGCAGAGTGAAGACATGGAAGAAGACAAAGGTGAGTGTCCTCGCAGCAAGACTGAATTGAAAACTGGCATGTTCTGTCACTAGGACCTGGGGGCAAAAAGCGACTTATTCATATGATCGTGATTATGTTTAACTATACCAACCTAGATGTTATATAAGTATAATACAATTTGACAAGTACATCTGAATACCTGTATACATATTAGCCTTGGGCAAGGATAACATATCCATTATAGTAAATCCACCCTGAACATATGATGATGATTGTTTGTATTGATGGTGATGATGATGCTTGCACAATGTTGATGATGAGGATGTTTTGTATGGCAACAAATTGATGACGAGGATTTTTGTACAATGTATTATGACAACAACAAATTGATGACGAGGATGTTGTGTACGACGTTTTGTACAATGTATTATGACAACAACAGATTGATGACGAGGATGTTTTGTACGATGTTTTGTACAATGTATTATGACAACAACAAATTGATGACGAGGATGTTGTGTACGATGTTTTGTACAATGATGTTTTGTACAATGTATTATGACAACAACAAATTGATGACGAGGATGTTGTGTACGATGTTTTGTACAATGTATTATGACAACAACAAATTGATGACGAGGATGTTGTGTACGATGTTTTGTACAATGTATTATGACAACAACAAATTGATGACGAGGATGTTGTGTACGATGTTTTGTACAATGTACTATGACAACAAATTGATAACGAGGATGTTTTGTATGATGTTTTGTACAATGTATTATGACAACACCAAATGTACTTTGGGAAATAAAAATACTTAAAAAAATATATAAAATGTTTATGAATGTTTTCGTTTTAAATATTGGTTGTCCTTTTCCTTTATTTACCTGTTTTTGGGGTTTGCACTGTAATGTCTTCGTTGACCTGAGTCTGTTCCCGAGGACTCCCTGACAAAGCTTCATATGCTTCCTCTTCTTCTTGCAGTCTCTGCAATAACAATCATTATTGCTTTATTTTGTTCATGTTATATTACACGTTATGCGCTAGGTTTTGGATCTTTGATGTCATGAAATCTTTGCATCGGACCTAACAATATTCCTACCTTCTTCAATGTGTTACATTCTGCTTGACTGTGCTGCAAGTCATCGTTTGATTTGGACAGTTCCACCTTCACTGAAATGGAAAGGGTGTAAGGATCGCATCAGAGCAATACAATTCCTTCTTCTGCAAAAATTCAAATCACTTGGCATGTTTCAAATTCCGACGGCAATAGTTCACCCGCATCGTGACGATAACAATTTATACACTAAACATAAATGAATGTAGACCATATAAACCTGTCGTTAAAGGACAGTTAAACTACAAGAGTATCGCAGCTTAGGTTTAAAACAAGCATGTTATCATAAAGTGCATCACTATAGAAAACAATACAATATAAAAACGGGCTGCAGATCAGATCAGATTACCATACCAGAGACTGTTGGGACTTCCAGTTCTTTTGCTACCTGTATGGACCCTACCTGGAATTACACCATCCATTCAGGTGTTGATGATTTAGAAATATAGCTGAACATTGAAAGAATAAGTTTTCTACAAGTAAAACGATAGTAGACACTTTTATGGAATGGGTCTCAGGGGTACAATGAGTTTACGCTTAATGATATCATACACGCCCACATAATTAGAAAGAAGATGCATGTGTGACCGTTGACACAGGTAGCATTGGTAAATGTATGGTTGCAAACACAACTTAGATTTTCACAAGAGCAAATGTCAGCTCACGAGCTTTAACTTCTTCCCTCAGCTTTTCCGTCTGTGATTCGTGTTCATCTCTTTCCTGTTTAAGTACTTCCTCCCGTTCAGCGTGCTCCAAGTCCTTTTGTTTGAGTTGTTCCTTTTGTTTTTCCATTACCTAAAAACAGACACGAACGACACATTGAAATATCTTAAACACCGATCTTCGTGTACCTACGCATAGCAGTTTATGGTGTGTATTTATTTGTTTCATGTATCTCGGAAAATGTAGCAAAATCTTGGTGTTTGGGTTGCAGTAAACGTACCTTTGTGAATCACTATAGCTGTGCCATGATTGTTATACCGTGTAATACATGTGTATTGCTAGGAGGATTCTTAACACATGAATGGACAATTGTGTATTGTATCAAGGCGACTCACAGAATGCAGTTCAGACATCTGTTCCTTCATTTCAGCACGTTCCTTTGAGTACCGAGCCTCCAGCTTGAACTTGTTCACATAGACCAGATCTGAACTACCTGAAAAAGCAAAATAGTAGCTTGTAGACATCAACGTGCTGCATGAGTGAGTGAGTTTAGTTTTACGCCGCACTCTGCAATATTCCAGCTATATGGCGGCGGTCTGTAAATAATCGAGACTGGACCAGACAATCCAGTGAACAACAGCATGAACATCGATCTGATTTTGGCCATTTTACATTTTTTTTGGGGAAAGGAGGGTGTGTGGGGTGTGTGTGTAATTTTTCAACATATTTTACCTTAAGTAAGTCATAGATTTCCAAATCCTAATAAATTATGTATTAAGAATATTGCGAGAACAGATGAAAGTTTTGAAGGAATATATACTCATGCCAATAATGGTTGTCACCCCTCCCCACTCCAACCCCACACACACCTCACACCCCAGCCCACACCCTCTCCATTAAAACAATTGAAGGGGTGACAACCATTATTGGCATGAGTATATCAGAAGATTTACTTACATATATAATGTATGAGGGTTGGTTGCCTATAGATCACTTATAAAAACATATCAAAATCAACACCAAACATGTTCGATTTCAACATCAATGCCAAAGTAGCTATTTCAACGTTCTGTGGCAGGTTACTCATCTATGTCTTGAGTGGAATTATCTAGCTTGACTGAATTAGAAAATCGTCTCCTCCACATTTGCACAGTGCAGTGCACTTTAGAGTTGCTTTGGACCGGTTTGAACATTTTTTTACACAGTATTTATCATTATTATTATTATATTATAGGATATTTATAGAACGTACATATCAAGAAACTGATACATGCTCAAGGCGCTTGGTTTTTTCCCCCTTGATCATTGGATGTCAATCTCAACGGCACATTGTATTACCAATCTCAACTCTTGCAGCCACTCGGCGCACCAAGTTATTGCGGCTTTCCCATCCTTACGAGGGACCCATTCACAGCTTGGTGGACTGGGACACATAGTCACAGCACCTTGTACAGGTTTTAAGTTCACCGGGTTGTGTACTGTACACTAGGGGTTTGTGACAACACCCTTAAAGAGTCTGCACAGAAAGTTGACTCCTAGGTTTTACAGCTGGTTACAGGTGGGCTCGATCCCGGCAAGCTTGCTGGATCACTAGCCTGGTGCCTAAGACAGCTCGCCCACCATGCTCCCCGCTCGCCCACAATGCATTTCAGCAATTCCTGGCAGCTCTTTGATGCCTTCAGAAGACTTGAAAATAGAGGTACAAGCTCTCCCTGAGAAAGTTATTGCCAGCCCCTATCCAGAGGGCTTGGTAACTCCTGTGATTTCATCAGGGGATTGCCCCCAAACATAAGCCCCCGGATATACAGCTATATGTTGGATCAAAGCTGATTCTGTTTGGGGTATATTGTTCAATGTTCTCCCCATCGTGGGGAACAAATGCTTCCTTGCTTCATTCACTTCCATGTGGTTGCTTGCTCTGTCAGCAGCATAACAAATCTCTCTCAAGCTGATGAATCTGTGCATTAGTGATTTGACGAGCGAGGGAAATAAAGGTGCCTGAAATTTCAGTAAACGCGTTCCATCCATTCCATGAGGTCTGCTTTCCAATTCTACCAATGGATGACACACTGTCACTTCCTGTGAAGCTGTGAAACATTGGTAGGGTCCGAGAAGCGCCTGTTGCAGCTATGGCCAACACAACCACATTTGTGTCAACAGTATGAATGTGTAAAATTTCTTCCATAAAGACAAGATATATACAGACGAGTCAAGGGATGGAAACCTGAATGACTTTTCAGACACGAATATCACTCTTTTGCGTACCATCTATATCTCATCAAGGTTCTCTACGTCCATGCACAAAATCAGCTCCCCTTCTCAATTGCTCTGAAGATATTTCACCACAAACTGACTCTTCAAAACCAGATGTTGACGTATCAACCCTTGATGGCGTCGCAGTAATAAACATGCTAAAACCTGCATCTCAAATAATATGGATATTTTATAAAGTGTTCTTGAAAATACTTGCATACACCTCTGAACTCCAATCAGAGAATGTATGTTGTTTGGGACAAATATCAACACGCAACGTAAAATCCAGTGCAAGAACAAAAAGAGGAAGTGCAAAGGACGACGAGTGGAAGCCAATTCGTGTGTTCCCAGAACTGACAAGTTTTATGAGGTGTGATGCCAACAAGAAAGAACTTTTGGCTATACAAATATCCTATAATATGCTAATAATAATAAATAATGTGTAAAAAATGTTCAAACCGGCCCAAGTATGTAAGAGCAGCTCTAAAGTGCACTACATTGTGCAAATGTGGAAGAGACTAATTGATTTTCTAATTCAGTCAAGCTAGATACAATTCCACTCAAGACATAATTGAGTAACCTGCCACAGATTGTTGAATATAGCTACGTTGACATTGATGTTGAAATCAAACATGTTTGCGTTGAATTTGATATGTTTTTATAGGTGATCTATAGGCAACCAAACTCATACATTATACATATACTGACTGACTGACTGAGTTTGGTTTTACGCCGCTTTAGCAATATTCCAGCAACATCACGGCAGGGGACACCAGAAACGGGCTTCACACATTTTACCCATGTGGGGATTCGAACCTGGGTCTTCGACGTGACGAGCCACATTATGCATAGAGAATCACTATCTAAGTGTCTACTGATATCAATCATATCAACACGATTTGATAAAGGTACAAATTTTATTTTTACCTTTATCAACGAATGTTGATATAGTTGATGTCAGTAGACACGAAGGTGAGATTCTATTTATCATAAAAATCATCCTTCATAACTTTTCAGTGAAAACTGTAAATCGCTCAACACTGTACTACCGATAGACTTGCAGAACTGTAAATCGCTCAACACTGTACTACCGATAGACTTGCAGTGCAGCGATGTCATAGGATTGTGACGTCATCAGTTCATGACGTCATAGCATTGTCAGAGCATTGTACAAAATCAGAGCATTGTACTGTCAAAACGATATCTCCTAGGAGATGTCATATGATCTCACACAAACGATATCTCCTGTGGAGGTGAGGTGAGGTGAAATTGGGTTTAACGTTGTGCTTGAGAATGTTTCGCTCCTATGACGACGTGCATGTGTGTGTATGTGTATCTGCTTGTACTAGCCCAGACTTAAGCTGGTTTTATATAGTGCTAGCCCACTGAGATACCATGCCGCAGTGAAGCATGAATACCCCACTCAGACACATTATACTGACTCCGAGGGACCAACAAGTACCATATTTTAATGCCTTTTGGTATGACGCGGTCGGGGATCGAACTCCGCGACCTTCCGCTCTTCGGGCGGACGCTCTAACCACTACACCACGGAGGCGGCCATCTCCTGTGGAACACAGTTTTGGATGATAAATGTAAATCTTCTGAAATATCCCTTCAAATAAACTTTCATCTGTTCTCGCAATATTCTTGATACATAATTTATTAGGATTTAAAATTTAGTTGAGATAACATTTTTCGAAAATTCATTTTTCTCCCTATTTTCCCCAAAATGAAAAATGGCCAAAATCTGCTAGGCTTCGTTTTGAATTTTCAAAGAAAAAAAATAAAAATGTTAGATCATGGGATGATCTCATACTTATTTCACTGTTGTGTCTATATGGTGGCCATTTTGAAAATGGCCATCAATTTTCCCTTTTCGGGTTGTCATGATATAAATTGACTTCCATAGACTTTTCCCCCAAGTGCTGCATGAGTCTCGAATATCAGGAAATAGCTTCATGCTTATGACATACATTTCCCTTTATTTCAGTGTATTCCACAGTCTTCCACAATAACATATTTCGAGCATTCATCTTTGGAGACATGACATATCATTTTTGCGTTGATGTCAGTACGTAAAGACGTTTCCTGATATATCAATATGAAACGTGTTGTATTATTTGTGTATCATTGCTGAGTCGAAATGAGTGGAAAGGAATGAGGCAACGTCGGTTCGACATTTCTGGGTGTAATATATCCGCTTAATTCAACATTCCATAATATATCGTCTTGTTCTCTAAAGAACAATCTGAAACATCCAAGTCCATGCTATCAATTTTCAAACGCGCAAAGTTACAAACGAACCGCTCCACTCTGGCTGACATGGCCAGGTGTAAATAGGCAAAGACAAAACCCTTCCCATGTCCATATGCAATCTCTGCCAGATGTAGAATCAGTTGTAAGATCAGGCCTATTTGACGAACATGCCTCAACATGTTTTAACGTCACCGTATACAATATTTGGGACATGTAAATTTCTGTGGTTTGAGTTTAGGATTTATACAGAGATACAAGACCAAACTGCAGCTGTATATTGTACGCCAGATCTGCCAGCTAGTACTTACCTCCTTCCAAGGATGTTGCATCAAGTCTTTCTTTAATGAACGGTTGCGTGGAATCAAGGACCCCACACAGTGTCCTGTATCCCTCCACGCCTTTCTTCTTCAATATTTCTAACAGCATCTCACACTTCCCTGGCCCGGCCTGTCTACAGTTGTCATAGTCTTCCTGTGTGAAGACGCCGTCCTGCAACAAGGCGTCCAGCACAGGCTCCACGATAAGGAGCTCCTTCAGGAACTTGTGGTTCCTCTGAATGACGATAACGTGTTTAGCCTCCATCTTCTGATGTTAGGCGGGCAGCTGTGTCTTTGAGATTGAGATCACATTCCTGGAAGATTCAAGGGAACTAAAACTATTGTCACGGTAAAACGGAAACTGGGAGTATATGAAGCGTTAGACCGAAGTGAAATTCTGTCCTGTAAAAATCTTAGTGCGGATTGCAGTTCTACCCATTAGTTACATGTATAATGTATTGATGTAGGTTCCTCGTCCTTGTAGTCTTCAACAATACATAGAATAATGTACATACAAAATCCTATAAACTTGTAAAATACACAATTGCTTACATGAGGTCTTACAGTAACTATAGCAACCAAAGGGATCATCTATATGTTTATGATTGTTACTAAGGAGACATTGAATTGAGTTGTCTTCCGAAACTAAATGTTAGACAGGCTAATATGCCCCCACCCCCCCCCACCCTCCCACCCCCGAGTTAGGGGTGATGTGCTCGAGTCAAGAATATCCTCATATCCTGATCCGGCATTGAGGTCAAAGGTCAGATGAGGCTAATGCCAGATATAGAGACTTGTTTAACGAATGTTAAGTAAACTTCTTTTTGTTAATTTAAGTCTTTTTCATTCATGTATAACAAAGGTAGATATACAGTAATGTGATATACAGAAAATACCAATAGCTGTGTAGAGTATTTGCCATTTTCACCAAGTGAAGAGATTTTGGGGATAATTTACCCCTAGGGAAGATTTGTCATGTCTCTGCAAACAGAGTATGAAATGATGACCAGAAACTGAAGAAATTGGAGGATTGACAGTTCCGAAAATAATTTATCTTTGTTGCCTCATAATAGTTTAGTATCTCCCTCTTAACATGTTTAAAACATGGTTTGATTTTCTTTTAACTACATTTATAGATATTTTGTTTGGTAATAATACTGATCACATTCAATGGAGTGTTATGTTTCCCTTCAAAACCAAGAATAAGATTTTCATTTGTGAAACAAATTCTTCCTACAGCTACAGTATTTAACCAAGCTGACAAGTGACTCCCTAATCGTTTTGAATCTTCACTTTCACATAACAGATGAATCACTGTTTCAGGTTCCGCTTCACAGAATGTACACAGTGGAGAGTCAACATATCCAATCTTACGTAAATTTGTGTTTGTAAACAGAATGTTATGTACAAGTTTGAACTGAAACCAGTTCAAATTAGCACTCTGTGTTCATCGTTTCATGTGTGTCATCAAATAGATTCCTTCTTGTTCAGATTCCGTATATTCTTCATCAAATTCTTTTTCCCATTTACCTTGTCCAGAAGATTTGGTAAAGCTTGTGTTTAATAAAGATTGATAGAAATATTTACTGCCTTGTTCATTTCCAAGTTTCAGACAGTTGTAAGGAAGAAAAGGACATTGCATTCTTTTCGGGTTGTGTTTTTTAATGAAATTATTAATTGATAAGCGCAAGCCCTGATATTTTAAGAAATCTATTGTCATATCGTATTTTTCTTGAAATTCATCAAAATTATAGAGTCTGTCGTCGTCCATAAAATGATTTATAAAGATGATTCCTCTTTCAAATAATTCTATGATAAGTAAACTTGAACTAATTTTGATAACACAGGCAACAATGTATCCTAAGCCATCTGAACAGACATAAAAATACAACTAATCGTTTTACCGTGACTCAGATATGAGTTGACATGACTGTTTTATCAATGCTGATTCCTTATGAACATATATGTACACAGGGAATTGCTGAATAAAGAAACACAGTGGCAAGTCAATGGTTTTACTTACAATACAATGCAAAGGTCTTAACTGTTAAAATAAATGTTAAATGTGGGATAGATTTCATCGCTCCATCTCCAACACGACGAGACTGTGCGTGTGAAGCTAGAATCAAGGGGCGTGCATTACAGTCAGGAGACACGTGACACCAAGCTGGTGACTTAACCGACCCGACTGTACAATACTCCGGCTATGACGCCCGGATACACAGCACTGTAGCCCGCCCACAGCACAGACATGTAAAAGCCCTATACATTCGTGGTCACAAACAAGCCCATTTCGTTGAAAAGCGACAGCCATTTATTTAGGGCTTTAGCACTGCACATCTCGTCTCATATCAGCACCCACTGTGGCCAGCTTATGTAACATGTTATAACATGACTTGGTTTTCCCACCACTCTACCTCTGCATGTTCAACACCTACAAAGTAGTGTCTGTAAATAATGTGGCTGGACCCTCTCTATGAGTGACCCGCCCTGACGTGTCTCTAACTGATCTAACAGTTCTATGTCTGTAAATAATGTGGCTGGACCCTCTCTATGAGTGACCCGCCCTGACGTGTCTCTAACTGATCTAACAGTTCTATGTCTGTAAATAATGTGGCTGGACCATACCATAGGAAGGACACTCGTTCTCGTATAATTCGTATGTAATGAGAACGAGTGTATTATTCTCTATCTACACACTGATATGTACACATATAAATACTCTTATCTGTACGCACGACCTACCAAGTCTTCTGACAATGGTTTTACTAAACCGGGCAAATACTTAACGCTGATAGTTGTGCACTCATTCTATTCTACCCTGTTGACTGACACTCGTCTGATACTGGAGAAATTCCTCCATTCCATCAAAATATAAATCACTTCTGAAACTGAAGCAATGGCTTAACTCGAGTGAGACTTAGGTAGTGACCCCATTCTGCTGATACTGAACTCTGACGTAGTTACCCTGTCATTCCTACAGGTCACGGAAACGAGCGATCTCAATGTGATAATACGACTTCAAGTATGGCCGACGTCTCAGTAAGAGAAGCTAGCGAGGACGACTGTGACGAGATCATACGGTTGATGCAGGTGAGCAAACCAGGCTGAACCACAGGCAGTGTGCGAAATAGTTTCCAAATTTTGCTAGCCGTTCAGGCTAGCTATGCCTGAAAGTTACTATCCCGCAAAATAATTCACAAGCCCGAAATTAGAATGTAGACACGGGTTTCATCATTAAGCTGCTGATATGATGAACATTTTTATTAGGCCATAATCTTAAATGATTTAAAAGTGTGTTATAACTTAACAAGTCGGAGAGAGTGATATATTTACAAAATGACCCCATGAAAAGTTTCTAGCCAGTCGGGCCAGTGACTGTGGAGATTTTCTGGCCCAATCGGATTTTTACTAGCGACGGGCTAGCGGGCCAGTGGCTATTTAGAACAGTGACCACAGGTTGACACATGCATACAAGGGTAGACATGCAGACATCCACGGGCAGTGATGTCGCTGTGGTAGCTGGAATAGTGCACAGCTACTTTGGCCACCAGTTCAGGTTGTGTTTGTTATTGCAAACTGACAAGGATCCAAGTTGATATGTAGTTGTTCAAAAACCCAGCACCCAGAATTCTGTGTTAGCACAGATCCCCAGCAACTCTTCTTTGTGGTATGAAGCTAACACGGAAGATGCGACAAGCTGCATATTTGCCAACGCTTCAGTCATAAACGAATGTTCAATCTTTTTCACTTGTCAAATAAGGTCTAAAAACTTGACTCCTCGGTTTTCCCCTGCTTGTTGCGGGTTGTAGTCCATGTTAACGATTGACCCTTCCTATTTGGTTACAGGAATTTGCCACACACGAAGGCAATTTGCATCTCTTGAAGACCAGTGTCCAGAGTAAGTGCGCTATGTATCGCCACTGTTCCCTGTAAACATTGTTCCCTGCCCCCATTCATCCTCAATATCACAAAGCCTCGCCTTTCAGAAACCTACACTGACCCATACATCTGTTTCCACTTTCTCGCAAACTCAAAGTTAATCAACATTTTACCAACCAATTTAAGGCCGAGGTAGGGAAAATGGAAAAGGAAAAGAGAGGTTTTGCTACCGTGTATGGCTATGAAGACACCCTTTCCTTAAAAACGAATTTTGAGGCCTTCCTTTCAGGTGAATGTTGTATTATCTTTAACTCAATTAATAAATAGGTCTGGAATAGAGGCTGGTTTGTAACTCGCGTTGTGATTGGTCCGATAGACTGAGTAGCCATTGAAACCAAATGAATGGTAAATGAAGATCAAGGGCGGGGAATGTCTGCTCTAACATCGAGAGACTGACATCAGTTTGTGCGGAGGCACCAGTAGTAGGACTGTTGAAATCACCGGAGCGGTAGTAGTAGTAGTAGTAGTAGTAGTAGTAGTAGTAGTAGTAGTAGTAGTCGTTACTAGCCATCAGCAACATTCCAGCTATAATCCAGTCTGGGTCAGAAAATCTAGTGATTGACATCGTGAACATCGATCTACGCAGTTGGGATACGATGACACGCATCAACTAAGTCAGCAAGCCTGACCACCCGATCCCGTTAGTTGGTTCTTACTGCAAAGTAAGGGTTGCTGACGAATTTTTACCAGGATCTTCGAGGGTCAGTAGTAGTAGCAGCAGCAGCAGTATTAGTAGTGGCAGTGATAGTAGTTGTTGTAGCAGAAGCAGTCAAATCCCACCATAAGGAGGTATAGATAGTCGTCGCCTAAGTAACAGCAGTCGTAGACGTAATGGACATTATTTGTTGATGAAGTTATCGTGCCTATAGAATAACTATAGCAGTGACCTCGCGGACACGCTGGACCTCTCCGTATGGGAAGCTTTCACTGTGGGTGTTAATGTGGCATGTGTGTGTTATGCCACTTCTCCCCGACCTTTAGCTGAAGTAGTTGTACAGGGTAATATATATCATGATGACGACGTAATCGGTGAATCTAATAAGGGGTATTTGAGCAGTTCTCCAGCTAACTCCATATCTACTATGTAGGCGATTGTTGAAACACAGTGGATGAACTCATTCCAGCTTTGAAAAGAGATGGCTTTGGAGAAAAGAAGGTGTTCGACTGTTTCGTGGCAGAGGAAACCCAAACGACAGGTGAGTCCTGTCAAGCACAACTCCCCTTTTGACGGTGCTCCATGATACGGGACTTGTGATAGAACTATTGAGTAAATGGCAGGAACTTGGGTGACTCACTGGTTCGCATTTAGTTCTCTAATCTCCGGTTTAATGTATTGTTTGCAACTGCAAAGGTTTCTGAGAGCGACATATATACACACATGTATTCCTCAAGTCAATTAATGTATGCCCATGAAGACTGACTTCACCTCTTCCAGGCAGACCTCGGCTCGTTGGTTACCTCTTGTACATGTGGTCCTTCACAACCATGTCTGGGCGCTTCCTGTTCGTTGAAGACCTCTTTGTGGAGAAAAACTTCAGAAGGAAAGGAGTGGGGTCCTTATTATGGGCCTCAGCAATGAAGGTAACTTGACCCAATGCAATGCATAGCATGGTGGGCTTGGCTCCAAGTGCATCCAACTTTAACATGGTTAAATGGTATATAGCGGTAGGAAGATTTAACTGTGTTTCAAAACGACAACGGTTCCAGTGCGCAGGATTCAACTATGCTTTATGTTGTGGGGATTCCAGGTCACACTAAAGTACTGCAGGAAATAGAAAAAAAACATTTTTTTTCACAGTTATACCTACATTTTATGTAGCTAATGTGTAAGAGCGTGAAATGGCCCCTGCGGTCTCGGAGAGGGAGGAGGGGAGTCGTAAGAGATGGGAAACGTGAAAACAGGACTTTATTCAGGGGAGATTAGTGCAGAATTGAACAAAGCGACTTTTTTACAAAAGACCATGGCTTTAGGCAAATTAGTGTACGATGCTATTGTATTACAAAAGGACACTTTTTGAATGCCCTTTTTGAAATTAGATTTAGCGTCATTATAAACGATAGCTGACGTAAAAATAATAACTTTAATACTGAAATTATTAAGGGTGTACCTATCATGGAGTCTCACTATCGCTATAAAAAGAAACAGGTAGGAGGGGTCGTCCCAAAAGCAAAACTAGGACTTTGGTCAAGGACAGTGATTGAGGTCGGGCTGGGGGATAGAGATCTAAGATATCTAAGATAAGATAATACTTTCGGGGAATTAAACTGGGGAGGTAAACAGCATGTCAAACACATTTACAAATAATATCCAGCCCTGTCGATCTTCGTGTGGTCTTGCCACCTATATATTTTGAGACATTTAATACGATGGCTGGTTTAAGATTTTCTATGGGTATCATACTCTTTTACATATCTCCACATCTCCTTTTAACAGAAAGACAATCATGAGACATATTCAACACACATGAAAAAGCATAAAATATCTTTGAGATGACCCTTTGTGCCTGTAGTATAGGCAGCACATGCATTTCATGCCAGGTGAGTCGACGGTCCGTCGTCATACCTGGCTGAGCGACCTAATTGCCAAATATTGTCTGATCTATTTTTTTCTGCAGCTATTCGTATTTTTCTAAGTTTCGCCCGATTTTACGAATAAACATGTTTTTCTGGATATCCTATTACGCATCCCACCGAACGCCCAGTGGGTTATTTCGACATATGCTATTTGCAGTTGTGTAGATTTTAGGGATACAGAGTAACAGCCTAAAACATTTTTTTTCTATTCCGACAGTACTTTAGGTCTCCATCGCCACATGGTTGACAATGGAGGCAAGTTCATAATATCGGCTACTTTGGCTGATTGTATTTATACCCGATGGAAAAGATCTCTGATTAATACTAGGCACATAAAGAAACTGTGCATACAAAAATTTAAAATCTAAATTTATCAAACCTGTGTAGACACATAAGGATTTAAACTCAGAGATTAGTGATATGTATCCAACATGCATGCACGTGCCACGTTCCGTGATGCCAGTGGTTTCGTCCTTGAGACGTGCAATACGTTGTTGCACGTGCAGTCCGGGAAAGAGCAACAGAGCAAATGAATGCCACACAATACTGTCACTTTGGAAAGCTCAACCCCTGCCCTTGCGATCGTTCAAAATATTAAACGGCTATTGAAACGCATAGCATGCCAAGGCTCACGTCTGCACAACATCATGAGGCCATTGGGATGGTCCGTGGGGGGAATGTCTCAACGACAAGTGGCTGCACATTTCCACTGCCACCGGAACACCATTTCTGCACTGGTGAGACGCTACCAGAACACAAATGACGTCATCGATCGGCCACGTTCTGGACGTCCACGTGTAACAACGCCACGAAAGGACAGATGGATAAGGGTGACCCATCTTCGCCACAGGTTTCAGACTGCAGTGATGACTGCCCGGACCATCCCAGGACTTCACCGTATCCACCCCAACACAGTTCGACAACGTTTACGTCATCACTGGATCAGACCACGACGTCCCGCCATACGGCCTATCCTGACACAACGTCATCGACAAGCTCGCCGAATGTGGTGCCGAAATCATGTCCGCAGACCCTTGTTTTGGTGGAGAAATGTTGTTTTCACAGATGAGTCCAGGTTTAACATTTCCCATAGTGATGGACGTCAACGTGCCTATAGACGCGTGGGAGAACGTTATGCACAGGCCTGTGTCTTGGAGAGGAATCGCTTTGGTGGTGGTTCCGTGATGATTTGGGGTGGAATAACAGCACGCCCAAAGAAATCCTTTGGTGATTGTTCAGGGCAACTTAACTGGTGTGGGCTACAGGGATCAGATTCTTCGACCTGTGGCGATTCCTTTTCTGCAACGTCATGGCCCTGGGTTAACATTCCAACAGGACAATGCCCGCCCTCATACGGCAAGGGTTGCTATGGATTTCTTGCAACACCACAACGTTGACTTACTGCCTTGGACTGCAAATTCACCGGATCTCTCCCCGATAGAACATGTTTGGGACGAGATGGATCGACGTCTACGCCGTCTTCCTCATCCGCCAGATAACGTCCTTGACCTTGCAACAGAACTTGAGAGAATCGGGCGTGACATCCCACAAGCCTTCCTTGCACGTTTGATAGGCTCTATGCGTCGTCGATGCACTGCTGTTCTCAATGCCGATGGTGTGACGATGGATACATCTACATGTTGATGATACTTACATCTACATGGATGATGATACTTACATACTTACATCTACATGGATGATACTTACATCTACATGGATGATACTTACATCTACATGGATGATACTTACATCTACATGGATGATATTTACATCTACATGGATGATACTTACATCTACATGGATGATACTTACATCTACATGGATGATACTTACATCTACATGGATGATACTTACATCTACATGGATGATACTTACATCTACATGGATGATACTTACATCTACATGGATGATACTTACATCTACATCTACATGATGATACTTACATCTGATACTTACATCTATGATGATACTTACATCTACATGGATGATACTTACATCTACATGGATGATACTTACATCTACATGGATGATATACTTACATCTACATGGATGATACTTACATCTACATGGATACTTACATCTACTTACATCTACTACATGGATGATACTTATGATCTACATGGATGATACTTACATCTACATGGATGATACTTACATCTACATGGATGATACTTACATCTACATGGATGATACTTACATCTACATGGATGATACTTACATCTACATGGATGATACTTACATCTACATGGATGATACTTACATCTACATGGATGATACTACATCTACATGGATGATACTTACATCTACATGGATGATACTTACATCTACATGGATGATACTTACATCTACATGGATGATACTAACATATACTTACATCTACATAGATGATACTTACATCTACATGGATGATACTTACATCTACATGGATGATACTTACATCTACATGGATGATACTTACATCTACATGGATGATACTTACATCTACATGGATGATACTTCTACATCTATGATGGATGATACTTATACTTACATCTACATGGATGATACTTACATCTACATGATGATACTTACATCTACATGGATGATACTTACATCTACATGGATGATACTTACATCTACATAGATGATACTTACATCTACATGGATGATACTTACATCTACATGGATGATACTTACATCTACATGGATGATACTTATACATCTACATGGATGATACTTACATCTACATGGATGATACTTACATCTACATGGATGATACTTACATCTACATGGATGATACTTACATCTACATGGATGATACTTACATCTACATAGATGATACTTACATCTACATGGATGATACTTACATCTACATGGATGATACTTACATCTACATGGATGATACTTACATCTACATGGATGATACTTACATCTACATGGATGATACTTACATCTACATAGATGATACTTACATCTACATGGATGATACTTACATCTACATGGATGATACTTACATCTACATGGATGATACTTACATCTACATGGATGATACTAACATATACTTACATCTACATTGATGATACTTACATCTACATGGATGATACTTACATCTACATGGATGATACATACATATACTTACATCTACATGGATGATACTTACATCTACATGGATGATGATACTTACATCTACATGGATGATACTTACATCTACATGGATGATACTTACATCTACATGGATGATACTTACATCTACATGGATGATACTTACATCTACATGGATGATACTTACATCTACATGGATGATACTTACATCTACATCTACATTGATGATACTTACATCTACATGGATGATACTTACATCTACATGGATGATACTTACATCTACATGGATGATACTTACATCTACATGGATGATACTTACATCTACATGGATGATACTTACATCTACATACATGGATGATACTTACATCTACATGGATGATACTTACATCTACATTGATGATACTTACATCTACATGGATGATACTTACATCTACATGGATGATACTTACATCTACATGGATGATACTTACATCTACTTGATGATACTTACATCTACATGATACTTACATCTACATGGATGATACTTACATCTACATGGATGATACTTACATCTACATGGATGATACTTACATCTACATGGATGATACTAACATATACTTACATCTACATTGATGATACTTACATCTACATGATGATACTTACATCTACATGGATGATACTTACATCTACATGGATGATACTTACATCTACATGGATGATACTTACATCTACATGGATGATACTTACATCTACATGGATGATACTTACATCTACGTGGATGATACATCATCTACATGGATGATACTACATACATCTACATGGATGATACTTACATCTACATGGATGATACTTACATCTACATGGATGATACTTACATCTACATGGATGATACTTACATCTACATGGATGATACTTACATATACTTACATCTACATAGATGATACTTA